AGTCCAGTGAAGTATTTTGGGAGATTTTGTCTTACTAAAACTAGCCAGAGGGCTGGGAATGTGGCTTAGAGGTAGAGTGTTTGCCTAGCATGCATGAAGTCCTGGGTTCAATTCCTCAGTACCACATAAACAGGAAAAAAAAAAAAAAGCCAGCCTTCAGCAAAAGAAGTTCAGTGCCCAGGCCCTGAATTCAAGCCACAGGACTGGCAAAAAAAAAAAAAAAAAAAAGCTAGCCAGACTGGGTGCTGGTAGTCACAACTGTAATCCTAGCTACTCAGGAGGCTGAGATCTGAGGATCACAGTTCAAAACCAGCCCAGGCAGGAAAGTCTAGGAGATTATTTCCAGTTACACACACACACACACACACACACACACACACACACACGCACGCACGCACGCACACACACACACACAGCGCGCTGTGTCAAGGGATAGAGCACTAGCTTTGAGCACAAAAGCTCAGAGGCAGCATCCAGGCCTTGAGTTCAAGCCCCAGTATCAGCGTGCCTGTGCATGCATGCGTGACCGCACACACACACACACACACACACACACACACACACACACAGAGCCAGTTTTTATATATTTAGCCACTGTACATTTTAATGATATATTATATACCACATAATCCAATTTCTATTAGTTCTCTGCTTGTTCAGATTACCTGCATTCTTAAGCATTTGCATTAAAAAATAACAAAAGATGAAGAGTACTGAACTATACAGATTGCCTCTCCTCCTGCAGAGGCTAACACCTATAACCCAGTGTAACAATGAACAGTAATATGCCTATTAGCTGTACTCTTTAGATGCAAAGAGTAAAGGTGAGACATTTGGTGAGCATTTCATGTATACCAACCCTCCAACACTTCCACTTGGTAAAACACTGGTTCTTTTGTTCCAATTAGGTTATATCCATATTACACATGACTTTATCTTTTAGTTCAGTGTTAGAAAATTTTAATCAAGCACTGATATTGTCTTGAAATTTTCATCTCCCCGCACCTCAGAATAGAGGTTGGAAACTGAGTTAATTATGTCACTGTGTGATGAAACCTCTATATAAAAAAATCTCTGAAAGATGGACTCCAAAATTTCGTTTTGGAGCTGGTGGCTCATGCTTGTAATCCTAGTTACTCAGGAGACTGAGCCCTGAGGATCCCAGTTTGAAAAACAGCCTAAGCAGACAAATCCTAGGAACTCTTATCTCCAATTAACCCCGCAAAAAGAAGTGAGCTGGGCGCCAGTGGCTCAAGCCTGTAATCCTAGCTACTCAGGAGGCTAAGATCTGAGGATTGAGATTCAAAGCCCAGGCAGTTAAGTCCCTGAGATTCTTATCTCCAATAAACCACCAGAAAACTGGAAGTGGAGCTGTGACTCAAGTGGTAGAGCACTTGCCTTGGGCTGAATTGCTGAGGGACAGTGCCCAGGCCCAGAGTTCAAGCCCCACGACCAACCAAAAATAAATAAATAAATAAATAAATAAATAAATGGTAGAAGTGGAGGTGCAGCTTAGCAAAAAGGCAGAAGTGGAGGTGTGACTTGCCAGTAAGCCAGAAGTGGGGATGTGACCCAAGTTTGCCAACTTCAGCTTGGCAAACGTTGAGTATGCTATACCACGAGGGAGGAGAACCAAGGATCTTTCAACATTCTATAGGTGTATCACTAGCATTTACAACCTGCAACTTTTAAATGATGCCTAAGGTGGAGCCACTTTGTGGGACAGAGTCTCTTAACCTGTGGCATCTGATGTCAACTCCAGAGTCAAAGGCAGAATAGGATGGAAGTATAGGACTCCTGTCAGTACCTGCCAGAGGACTGCTTCTACCCTTGTATTAAAGTGGAAGTTCTCAGTGTGAAAAATTAATATTCTGCTGGAGAAAAAAACTTTTCCATTAGATCAGATCCCAACCTATGAAAGACTCAAGTCTGCTGTTTCAAAACAGTGGCAAGGAAAATAATAAACTAATTGTCCATCTAGAAAATCATCTGAAGAGCTTGGAGGTAACTCAGAGAGAGCTGCAACTGACTTATGAAGAAACTGGAATAATTTCCCACCTCCAAACAAGCACTAGACTGCAGATTAAAGGCCACAAGTAAACCTTCAGGCACTGAGAGGCCGTGAGCAAAATGACCATTGCTAATGAATGCTGCTAATAAAAGCAAAGGCAAAGCAAGGAAATAAAGTATATAAATCCAACTCTGGAGGGCTCAACCCTAGAGCTTTTTGAAAACAAGAGTCCTATGATCAACTCCAGACTAGTGCTATTGGAATTTCAGACCCTGAAAGGGAAACTGCTTCCAACAATTGCCACATGATTCTTTCATGTGGCTAGGGATGACCAATGACATAAATAGGAGAAAGGTAAAAGAGAAAAATGATAGTTTTAGGGCAGTTTGTGTTTCATAGACAGATCGTTTCAATTAAAAAAAAAAAGAGCTAGAGGTGTGTTGTGGCTTAAACAATAGTGCGCCTCCCTAACAATTTTGAGGCCCTGAATTCAACCGCTAGTACGGAGATGAAAAGAAAGGCACAAAGGCCCATCAGAAAGTAAGCACTATTTAAGATGATGTTTCTAAATTTAAAATGTCAATGAAATCCTCCCCCCTCCATATAACTAGTATTTGCCAATTAAAACATAAATTATCAATTTTCTATTTAAACGATGATTATTTTTTAAGCTGTCATTACTAGTACCTATGTATAGACAAAATATCCTTTAGCTGGAAGAGAATATACTTACACTTAGTGAACCTTGCGATTTTTATGTCTTCTCTGTATGGAATGGGTTGGCAATTATTTTGGCAAAGACCATTCTCAGTAGAGCAAGAGACTCTTTAAAAAGGATGTGGACAGAAGGGAACTTTACTTCATTGTTGGTGAGAGTGTAAACTTGTTCAACCACTTTGGAAAGCAGTATGGAGGTTCCTGAAAAGACTTCACATAGAGCTCCCCCATGACCCAGCAATCCCACTTTTGGGCATTTACCCAAATGTTTACAAACAAGACCACACTAAAGCTACTAGCACAACTATGTTTATTGCAGCATTATTTACCATAGCTAAGATATGGAACCAACCCAGATGCCCCTCAGTAGATGAATGGATCAAGAAAATGTGGTATATATACACAATGGAATTCTATGCCTCCATCAGAAAGAATATTTCCCCATTTGTTAGGAAACAGAAAGGCTTGGAAAAAATTATATTAAGTGGAGTAAGCCAAACCCAAAGAAACAAAGGTCCCATTTGCAATATCTAGTATATGTATGAGTCAAGCAGGAAAGATCAGATAATGTGATGTTAGGAAAATGAACCCTTAGATAAGTATTTAAATATTTTTTTCTTTCATGCATTTGTTTCTAACTCATTTATAAGATTATTTCTTTGTAGCTTTGTATGTCCCTCCCCCACAGTACAACCCCTGCTTTCACTATATTTGATGTCTGTATAATTTGTGGAGGAGATGGGGAAAAACAAGTCGTTTAACGATACAGGTGGACCAGATGCAACTATGAGAAGTAGAAGTCGTCATGTCAAAAACGAACTTTACAACTTTGGTGCGGGGAGGTGTGGGGGGGGGGGGGGGTGGAGATTGGGTGGGGGGCAGGGGGAGGCTGGGAAGGGATGTGAAGGGTAAACAAAGGAGGAGGCTGCAATGCTTGATAAGAAATGTACTCATTATCTTGCCCATGTAATTGTAACCCCTCTGTACAGTATGTTCACAAAAAATTTAAATTAAAAAAAAGCAAAAAAAAAAAAAAAAAAAAAGCTTGTCATTTATCTCAAAGCTTGTCATTTACCAGTCTTGGTGCTGACATTCTAAGCAAGGTTAAGTTTGGGTTGGAAGGAGAAAATAATAGATGAAGACAACTTTGGAATACTAACTTTTTCATCACATAGAAGGCTATTGTTTATGAATATTAGAATCATTTCCCTTTAGTGTCTTCAAGTTGTCAATGACATCAACTTTCTTGTTCTCTGTAAGCAGCTTAGCTGTATTCCTGCTTTCTAGTCACTAGGTGCCAGTAGCGGTCACCCTTAAAGCTATGACACCAAAACTGCTCTGACAACTGTTTCCAACGAAAAATGTGATACATATACACAATGGAATTTTACTCATCCATTAAAAAGAATGATATTGTGCCATTTGTTAAAAAATGGAAAGATTTGGAAAAAATTATATTAGGTGAACTAAGTCAGGCCCAGAGTGACAAAGGTTGTGTGGGTTTCCCTTATAGGAGGTAGCTAGATTCAGCCTATAAACTTTAAGTGAACACATCAGGTGATATGCATTTGGTTATAAATGAATTCAAGGGAAAACTCAAATAGTATAATTCCTTAGAAAGGCCAAGTCAAAGCCCAACAAAATAAACATCAGCAAATGGGTACTTGAGAGAGGTGGGGATGGAGCGTAAGTGAAGCCAAGGGGAGAGGAGCAAAGGAATGAAGAAAGCAGTGAAGAATTAGATGTACATACTACAAAACAATGTTTAAAGGAAGGAGTGGTGGGAAGGGGGTTGGTTAGAATGCTGAAAGGGGTAACACTGATCAAGATGCACTGTATTCATAAACATGGCAACTCCTTTGTACAACTACTTAATTTTTAAAAAATGTATTTTTTAAAATGGAGCTAATATAATCCTAAATAATTATCAGGATGCATGTCAGAATTAGCAATGTGACCCATTCACTAATATTCTAAAAAATCTTTATAGTCTTATATGCTGGCTACATTAAACAACACTTTATAATAAAGAAAAACCAGATTAAAGTGGCACTTGTCTGTAATCCTGCACTTAGGAGGAAGAGACTGGAAGATAGTGAGTTCCAGGCTAGACCTTGTCACTAAAAAGAAAGGGAGGCGGGGTGAGGCACTGAAAAAATGATAAAGCTACTGTTTTGCTGTAAATGAAGAGCTTTAAAACTATCTCCATGCAGGCTTCCAACTGTTTCATGACAACATGTCACCAGTTTGAAATGATCACAGATACAGAATCTCATGTATGAGTACTTTTAATGTTGTATACATCAAATTACAATAGACAACTCTAACAAAACAGCCCCTCAGCTGTGAACAGCACAGTGCATTACAGTAAACCGAGTTTATATTCCACCATCAAGTGGGGCTCACCCATTAGCTCACTTTGTGATGGATCTGAAAAGAAACAAAAACACTTTAAGTCTCAAAACAGAGATAAATTCAATGATTCCTCAGGATGATAAATAAATCTTTTATCTTGACTGAGGCGAAACAGCTATACATTTGTTAAAAGCCAGAACTGTACACCTAAAATGGATGCATATGTAGTATGTAAATGATACCCCCAATGTAGCTGAGCTAAGAAAAAAAAATAGATTTTTCAAGATTCTTAATTTTTCCAGTGCTTCTCAGATGATGCTGAGAATCATCTCATAATCAATTCTGCAAAAAATTCTTATCTGTACCATTTTCCTGCCTGTGTGTATGAATGAACATATGTCAGAATTGTGAAGCAAGAAAACCCTTACAAGACTTACCTTTGTGTAATAAGTATAACTAAAGTTTTTTTAAATTAACAGAAAGCTTCCTAAAGACAAAGGCTTTGATCTCTCCATCTCAACACTGATGTAGAAATAGTAAAACCTAATGAACCAATCTGTAAAACTGGTTTATAAAAATGGATAACCATTCACATTACATGGCAGCACTCCCAGGGGAAACCACCCAAAGCTCACTGCAGCAGTAAAACCACAATAAAATGATCTACTAAATGAAATCTTTTCAGCCTGGAACTCTCAGACAGAGGCAATGAATAAATTAAAGATATGATCACAGCTTAAACATCAAATGATATGGTATCCCATCACACTTCTGCTTAAAGTCATTCCATGCCTCTTGAGTCGCATCCTGAATTAACTACAATCTTGTTTTTAGTCTGTAGACCCCAGTTTTTGTAAGTTCTCTGTTGGTTTTCTTGACCACACTACATTCTACTGTCCAACTTGCTCAGAATATCCTAGTCATAAGGATTTCCTTAAAGCGCTATTATGTATGCCTCACAACTCCTGGGAACAGAAATGCTTGACAGCCATGGTTCTGAACTACCTTTCCATGAGTGTTTTCTAAACAAGAGGCCACCAGGACAGCCAAGTCCAATGCCTGCAGTGAGAACATAGTTCTCTCCTAAAAAAAAAAAAAAGGTACCAAATATGGAGCACCACTTGACTCTCTTTTTGTGCTGTCTTGGGAAGTAGAGCTTAAGGGCCTAACAGAATGCTCATAACTGGGGCATACTGCTCTGAGGAATAAACCATCCTTTGTCTCCTAGAATCTTACATGTTCTGCCACCATTCATAAAACCACAGCAGGCCAACTGATTAGCTTGTAAGTAGGGTGAGATCTCAAATCCTTCACAGTTCTTTAGCTGTTAGATTAGAGACAGACCCTGGACATACTGTTTCTTCTGAAACAGCTTTCTCCCTACTTTTAGCTCCAGTAATTCACAGCTTAAAGGAATCAACTTATATGTCTATTCCCAGACAATCATCTTTCCAAACTCAAATTGTTTCCCAAACTTATTGCAATTTATATTTTTTGTCTCCTCCATTAGAAAGTAGATATTTTGTCCATATTTCTATATTCAGAGCCTAGCCAGTGCTTGACATGTAATAAACATTGAACTGAATAAATGCTTAAGGTCTGTTTTCCTTTCTTTATATAGAATTATTAGATTTTAATGAGTTTTTTTATAAATGAGATTTGTAAGTAAATAAATTAAGGTTATATATACACTGTACTAGCTTTATATGCATTTAGGAATCCCAAGTTTTCCTTCATTCAAAAAGCTCTTAAAGGGGCTGGGAAGGTGGCTCAGTAGTAGAGTGCTTGCCTTGCATGCATGAGGCCCTGGGTTTGATTCCTCAACACCACGTAAGCAGAAAAAGCTGGAAGCGGTGCTATGACTCAAGTGGTAGAGCACTAGCCTTGAGTTGAAGAGCTGAGGGACAGCACCCAGGCCCAGAGTTCAGGCCCCACGACCGACAAAAAAAAAAAAAAAAGCTCTCAAAGAGGAGGCTCACGAGACTTGTGTTATGTCCACAGCATTTCCTCACCGGATATCAGCAGCCAAACAAAACTAATAAAACTTAGTTTGGGCTTCTCTGTTTCTCCTAATGAGTAAGGCAATGCTGGGCACAGTTATATTTGTTTATCTTCCTCAGAACAAGAAATAGAGGATACTGCACACATTGTTCTTCCTTAAAAGTCATTTATCTGATACATACTACAATTATTCAGGGAATTTTGTTAAGAATGGCAGACTTCTTTTCTATTTACCACCTATTCCAGAAACACACACACACAACTGGGGATGGATGTTTTTTTTTTTAAGGTATTTTCTATCTTATTCAAGTCATTCTGAAAATTAGTACAAACATGGTGAATACGAAAACAATCATTACTTAAATCACCTTAGAAATAGTGACCAATTTAGTAGATCAATACATTAGACAATGTTGAGAATATAAAATCACAACTAGTGTTGACTGAAATGACTAGAACCTCAGAACTTTTCAAGTTAACTTCACTCTGAAAAACATTGAAAGAACAGCTGTGACCACTCAATTTTATACCTCACTGCTATACAGTGAATCCCATTGCTATGAGTGATGGAGAGACAGATTCTGTCCCGTTTTGCTGCTAACATCTTACATAACAGAACGCCATAAAAAGTGCCAAGACACTTACCATTAAGAATATCTTCAAATCCAATAGTCTCATCATTACCCTTCAAAATATCCAGTGAAAGGTTGGAACTTTGAAGAAATGGAAGACGCTGAACCTTTGGGAAAGGTATGAAAGGGGCAAGAGAAAAAAAAGAATATAATTTTATGTTCTGTACTCTTACTTCGAAAATACAAAAAAAACTAGATAAATTTAACCAGTGGAAAGGAATGATTCACATTTTAAGTACAGAGTAAGTTTTAAAAAATTCCTCAAAATTTTGTTGAAAATAGTTGACCATGACATTGTAGCTTTTTTTTTTTTGGATCCGGTCATGGGGCCTGAACTCTGGGCCTGGCTGCTGTCCCTCAGCTCTTCAGCTCAAGGCTAGCACTCTACCACTTGAGCCACAGAGCCACTTTCGGTTTTTTTCTTTTTGCTTATGTGGTGCTGAGGAATCAAACCCAGGGCCTCATGCATGCAAGGCAAGCACTCTACCACTGAGCCACCTTCCCAGCCCCGAAACTGTAGCTTTTATCAGCACTTAATTATCCCATCAGATTTGTGCATGGTCTCAGGCTTTATTCTGTCTAGGAATACTGTAATATATACCACTTGATAAACCACAAAACCCTGGAGACTAACATCAGAGCATAGCTTCAGATATACTCAGAGCAATGAAATTCTGAGAAAATTCCAACTCGGTGAGACCATTAGTCTACCAGTAGCCTGGTATGATGTAAAGGCATGTAAATAATATAGTGACTGACACATAACCTGCTTTAAAGATTTCAGCAATTCTGTTCACTGTTAATTGTCCAGCAGTTATAACTGAAGTCAGTGCAGATAATGCTGAAACTACCAAACGAGAAGATGGTCAGTGACTAAATGATACCGGGATTTTTAAAATAATCACATTGATAACCTGCAATTATCAGTTAATCTTCAGAATAACCCTCTGCTATTATTATTGGACATCCATTTCAAAATAAAAACAAAAAAATCTGAATTTCAAAATGGTTTCTAACTTAAGTTTTTTTATTTTTTTTTATTTTTTTTAATTTTTGGGTCCGGTTGTGGGGCCTGAACTCTGGGCCTGGGTGCTGTCCCTCAGCTCTTCAGCTCAAGGCTAGCACTCTACCACTTGAGCCACAGCACCACTTCCGGCTTTTTTCTTTTTGCTTATGTGGTGCTGAGGAATCAAACCCAGGGCCTCAGGCATGTAAGGCAAGCACTCTACCACTGAGCCACCTTCCTAGCCCTCTAACTTAAGTTTTTAAGACTAGCTAGGAGAACCAAGATTCAGCCCGAAGTTATTCTCATTTTAAACCCTACTTTCATTTTAAGATAATTCTTGGAATACTCAAAATAGCTTTCAGAATGACTTAATTGATACAAATGATGACATTAAAAGAAATGATTGAAAAATACAGTTTCAGCTAGATGGGAGGAATCTGTACAAGAGCCAAAAGGTGAAAAGAATATAACCAGGAAGCTCAGGGAGTCCAGGAGTATGTGGACTATGGTATTAAAGTATTATGGTAGCAAGGTGTTACGGTTAAGAAGTCAATTCTTGAACGCAGCCAAACTAAGCTACTGGAATTTACTTTCTTTTAAGTGAGAGGAATAACAAACTGAATCTATGTCTCATGGCTATTAATGCTGGCTATGGTACAGACAATGAACTAGAGGGGCATAGCAGGGATGAGCATCACAAGTTAGATCAAATATAGCAGGAGTAGAACCAATGAAGCAGCAATGGTGAGATCAAGTAACAGTGTGGGATATAGAGAGGAAGGGAAGAAGTTAGGTGCTGAATGATAACCAAAGCTAAGGCTTCAATGTCTGCTTTAAGCAAAAACCTAGTCATAGGAATATGTGAGAAGTGAGTTACTCTATATTCATACATGTGAAAGTCTGCAATGCCTGGGGAACTTACAAATGCAATAGCTCAGCTTTATAGCCCATGAGAACTGAAATCTGAGTCAACAACATGTAAATGAAGCATTTAAATAAACAGCTGTAACAGAAGAAAGAGGAATAGGTAGGAAATAGGGTGAAGAGACAACCAAAGACTAACAAAACTAGTACTGCAGGAAACAGAGGGGGGAAAAAAGCAACCTATAGAAATTGACAGTAAGTTTCAGACAAGGGTGGAGAACATCAAGAAAGTGTATTCTAAGAGCCAAAGGAAAAAAGAGCCATGGGTACTAAATAGTAGGGTTCAGTAAAATGAGGGTTAAAAAAAAAGTCTACATTATTCAAGAAGAGATGCACTGGTGTGACGGGAGCCAGTACACATAATGCAAATGATCAGGAGATAAAGGGAAAAAAAAAGTACACACACACACACACACACACACACACAAAACATAAATACCTTAAGAAGCTCAACTGACAAAAGCATAGTTAATGTAAGAGAAGTACCTATAAAGACATTCAGGAATGATACAAAATTTTGTTTTATAAATAAATAAACATTTTAAAAGTTTTGTTTTATGTTAAAAGACAGAGATCTGAAGTTATACAAATATATAAATGCTGCTGGTTATTAGGCAGAACAAGGAGAAAGAAAAGTTAAAGGAGTTAGCGCCAGACAGGATCACTAACACAGGGTTACTTCCTAACATAGTGTGATGTAACACATCACTGGAAGGACACACACTGGATGTAACAAATCACACTGGAAGGACATCTTCTAAGTATTTACTCCTTAGCAACAGGTATTCCCAGGTGTGTGTGTGTGTGTGTGTGTGTGTGTGTGTGTGTGTGTGTGTGTGTGTGTGTGTGTGTGTGTGTGTGTGTGTGTGTGTGTGTGTGTGTGTGTGTGTGTGTGTGTGTGTGTGTGTGTGTGTGTGTGTGTGTGTGTGTGTCGTGTACTCAATACTACCACTTGGAATCTCCTAGAGGTACCTCAAACTCAATTCAAACTCAATGTAATTCTCAAAAAGCAGGAAAACATGAAAGTGGACACAGGTGAGTTTGCAGACAAGGAAATTTTCTATTTAAGGACCTTTTTTTTCCTCTATGATATAGGAATTGAAGTCGTATAGTATAAAGGGGAAGTACAGAATAAGTTACAAGGGCAGAGGAAGAAAGTTTGAACAGCTGTTATGGAAAGAGAAGTCCTTATAACTGACTCACCTGCTGCACTGCTTTGAATTCCATTTGTAATTTCAGTGGAGCATATAGACCCTGGATATTCCTCAGTGTGGCAAAGTTCATTTTATCTTGGTTGAGCTGGAACTGCAAAATATAATTCTTAATATTACACTCACTATTCCTCTTCCAAAATTATATATAGAACACAATACTTAGATGAAGAATTTTAACACGGACAACTGAAACAAAAGCAACTGTATTTAATAATCCCTTCTGATAAGTTTCAGAACATTTAAGTTTCTCTCTTATCCAGTTTACAGGTGTAAATATTTAACGAGTATAAAACTGTTATATAAATTTTGAATTAACAAAACTACTAAATCAAGGAATGTTTTTTCATAGTACAATGTCTTCTTGTAAGGCATAAAGATATTTCAATGCTTCTGAATACAAGTACTATAAAAGGTCATCGTAGATCCAATAAACATTTCAGACACTGACAAAAATTAAGTTTTCTAAAATATAATATGTATTTCAAAGAATTTCATAAAAGAGATAATTAACTATTACTAAAAATCAACTATTGCTAACTGAATTACAATATTTAATCTTCATGTTTTTGGGTAACTGATTCAAAGGGAAAAAGCTCAAAAAAGTCTATTCAATTTGCATTAAATGTATAATCAGCACATTCTTTTCTGGAATCATACTCTTTGCCAAGCTCTGATACTACTATTACAAAATTTGGATCCTAATTTAATGTACCTGAGGCAAAACGAATGTTTGATTCAATCTGAATTATGCATTTTCCAAAAAAAGTTCTCAAGGATAATGAATATGGTAAGCAAATGGCTACAAAAAAATCTATTTGAGCCAAGATAAAATTACAATAAAGTAATCACAAGCGAGTTCTCGTGACTATTTTTTATTTTTTAAACTATTATTTTACCAGACTCTTGACAAGATTTGTTTTTTGTCATAAAAAAATCATTTTCAAACAAAACCTATTAAGGGATTAGTGCACATTTGGGACATGACTAGAGACAACATATATGTAATTTGACAGTAAGATGTCTGACATTACTGTGTCTACTGAAAATTTTTCACAAATGATCCTTGAGGAAAAGCTGTATATTTTACTTTATGTGAAAAGTTTCTTTTAATAATTATCCTCATAAATATTTTATATAGGAAAATTCAATTTATATAAACATCAACAATACATCCAACTTGTAATTAGCAATGGTACATAACATATAATAAAACAGAAGAAACAACATCAGAACCTAGTTGGGAAGATATTAGAAATAGATCAAGGTTTCTCAACTGTTGGAACTACCAGCATCTGTTGTGGGGCTCCTGCATACCAAACTATGTTTAGTAGAATCCCTGGATTCCCACCAATAGATGCCAACATTAAACCACTTCCCCCTGCATCCAGCCATGCCCCTTATAAGGACCAAAATAAGTCTTCAGACCTTACTGTTTAAACAATGAAGTGCACCCCCACTTCTAGTTGATGCAGCTGTCCACCTTCCAACAGTGTTACCACTGCAGATCACAACTATGGATAGCAACAGGAAAGCAATATACAATGGATAGGCTACTACTAATTTCATTTGACAGACAAGGAGACTAAAAGTTTAGTTAATGAGCATGGGCCCATCTAATTGGACTATACAATCCATATTAAAAGATTTTGATACTAAGTGACCCAGAATTTCAACAGAGCCTGCAATTAATTAGCTAGTTAAGTGATTAAGGAAGAAATAAGAGACAACAGGCCTAGAATCTCTAAAAATCTAAGAAATTTCTAGACTCCACCATTCTGACTAGTCTGACTGAGATTTGTCAGTTTATCTTAACATGTACTACTCAGAACAGAACCAATATTCCAGATCTAATGGATAATACAACAAAAATGAATATATAATCTCATTTCCAATGAAGGCCAAGAAGTATTAGCTGTTCATTTTAGCAGTTAACTTATATATACTGGGCCACATTGTCAATTGAAATTGTCAAGTCTTAAGTACTAAGTCAGGTTTACTGCACCTAAATATGTGTAATTCAGTCTTTAAATGCTGAATTTCATACTTATATCAATAAATACTTTTCTCAAAAGTTTTGGCCTATTCTTTGGGTTTGTTTCCCTCCATAATATTCATTTTCAGCTATTATCAAAATAAGCTATTCTTATCAGTTTTTCTTCCAAAGATCAAATTTATAATTTTATGGGTAATCCCAAATCTTAATAAAACAGGCAGTTTTCCTAAGTGCTTGCTTACCTAAGATGCAAGTAGAGATCAAGATGCCTATCAAAATACTCTCTCTAAAGTGATCATTCCTGTCTGGGCAGATACCACAAACAATTCACCCTAAAATATTCTTGCTTAGTCCAGAATCTACCATCTTATTCTGGAACTTATCCTTTATCAGAAAACTGCTATCTATTGACTAACTCACTTGGTAATTTAAAAGAGTGAACTAAGGGGTTTTATGAGCTCATTCCACTGCTAGTGATCACTGCTTACTGTACTCAATGTGTACAGCCATCTGTTTAACAGTTCAGTTAAAAATCAGCTACTAGCTACTCAGAAGGCTGAGGCCTGAGGATTGTGGTTCAAAGCCAGCCAGGGAAGGAAAGTCCATGAGATTCTTCAATTGATCACAGAAAAACCCAGAAGTGGCACTATGGGTTAAGTAGTAGAGTGTTAGCCTTGAGCAAAAAGGAGCTCAGGGACAACAGCTAGGCCCAGAGTTCATGTCCAAGGACCAGCAAAACAAAAACAAAAAAATCCATCAGTGCCAGGAATTAATTTTACCAAAAAATGACTTTTTGATTAGATTCATTTTCAAAAAGTAGAGTACTGCTAGAGGCATGGCTCAGTAGTAGAAGACATGCCTAACAAGTGTAAAGCCCTGTGTAAAAACAAATTAACAAAAAAAAAAGGGGGGGAGGGGGAGCCGGTAGGAGAATAATTATGTATCTTCCAATATATAAGCAACTTTCATTCCTTCCCATATTTCTCAAAGATGTTGGTTTCATAATTATTATGTATACTCTTGTCTATTCTGGCTGTCAACTACTAAGCCTTAAACCCAAACACATTTAATGCACCAGGAGCCCTCTCCTCATCTCATTTGAAACTCAAATTCATAATTCTATTATCTGCTCTATTCTTTCTTATAACGAGGTCTTTCCCCTTGAGCCGAGAAAGGAGGCAAGTAAGAACAGATGAGTTTCCTGTTACCGGCCAATTTCAACATCTGTTAACCTAAAACTGTTCAAATAACACTGTTCTATAAAGCCTTCTGAATAGTGTTTGCTGCATTATTGGGCCTATGAAGCACTTTTAATGAAGCTTCCTTTCCACTGCTTGTCTTGCCCCTTAAAGTCTAAGTTTTAATTCAAGTTTAGCTTTAATTAAAACTTAGACTTTAAAGGACAAGACACTGGGAAGGTGGCTCAGTGGTAGAGTGCTTGCCTTGCATGCATGAGGCCCTGGGTTCGATTCCTCAGCACTACATAAGCAGAAAAAGCCAGAAGTGGCACTGTGGCTCAAGTGGTAGAGCACTAGCCTTGAGCTGAAGAGCTGAGGGACAGCGCCTAGGCCCAGAGTTCAGGCCCCACAACCGGCAAAAAATAAAAAATAAAAAGAAAATTAAACTTTAGTTTTAATTTAAAGTTCAACTTTTTATCTTAAAATGAGCATTATGTCCTATCTACTTGTGCACTTACTATGCCTGGTGGCTATGTATCTGAATAACTTGAAAATAGTCAAAGCTGGATAGAGGGTCTTTGATGTCAACAGCAAAAATGGCAAAGGGAAGTTCAGTGAATGAGAAAATTATTATGAAAGGAACAGAGAGATGCACAACCTTCAGTGACATCTGTTAAAAAGCAGAAAAGAATACATGGAAAGGGAACTTTAGTGAAATGGTATAACCATAGAGAAGCCAACCCTAAAGGGTGAATGGAAATGAGGACTCATAGTAAAATGCTCAGCACATTATTTTAATAAAATAAACAAAAAAAGTATTATTGAAAGTATTTTTCTACTAGAGGATAAAAATGTAACATACTTACATTTTTTTCTGACAATTCAAGAGGATGACTTGGTAAAAGTTCATTTTTCACACAAGAAAAACTAGAGAAGAAAATCATTTAAAAAGGAGATTATATATCATTAAATACCTAAAATCTAAAAATCCCATCTATCAAATGTGTGACAACAACACAGGGATTGGGACTGAACAAGCTGCTTAGTGGCAGGACATGTAATTGGTATGCATGAAGCCTAGGGTTCAATCCCTCCAACCCCTGCCCCCTCCAAACTACCACCAAAAAAAAACCCCTTTATCATAATACATGGCATGAAGGGGTTTGAAGGTGATGGTGATAAAACTGTTCTATATCTTGACTGTAGTGGTAATTACAGGAAATGATATATGTGTTAAAATTCACATAAATATGTATCAAAAGAAAAAAGTTAAACATTGTGAGTTAAACCTAGGGCAGTGTAGGGGAAGGGGGGGGAAGAAACAGACACAGTAAACACTCTCTGAGTGGTTACTGATGCCAGGTACTGTTTTACTATTTTAGGTTATTTTCAAATTTTAAACTCATTTATTCCTAAAAATAAGATAAACTCTGTATTAACCCTAATTCATTGCTAAGAACACTGGACTCAGCTATTTTACTTGCCCAAAGGCATACAATCCAGAAAATACAGCTGTGATCCAAAGCCAGTAGCCTGAGTCTCCTTATCTGCTATATTCTAGTGTCTCCAAAAGAAAAGCACGTTAATCCAATAGTTAATTAAGCATAAGGACGAAAATGGTGCTCCAAGTTCTCAGTAGGAAAATGAAAACTTCTACCAAATCATGCTTCCAGGTACCACTCACTAGGAAGATGTCTTATCCTGGGAATCTATTCCTCTAATAAGATGCTTCTTTCCCATCTCACCCTGTCCAGGTGTATTACTTGCTACCTCCTACAATAACATACATTTACAACCTTTCAAGATACTTAACAAATATTGTGAAAAATCAATGAAGGTGAAGCCACATCCTCCACACATACCCTTTCCGAAGAAGATCATGACTTTCAAAAGGCCCACTTGCTGAAAGTTCAGTAACTGGAATACTGTCCTTTAGCTGAGATCCAAGTCCTCTGGAGTTCTACAACACAAATTAAAAACACCATTAAATAAAGAAGAATTTAAACACAGACATACTGAGAACTACTACATAAAAAAATCACTGGCAAAAGAAAACAACTGTACCCTCAAAGATCTCACAATCTTAAGTAATTTAAGTATTATTGTAGAGGGCATACAAGGTACAAATAATACTAAATTTGGGTTAGAAGGACTTCTGCCAAATGCAAAGGCATCCCATGAAAGAGGAAATTACAGATAAAGATATGAAATGTTTAACGAACTGAAAAAGCTGAGGATAGAATCCCCATATCCATCCTTAAGAACATGGAAGAAGAACTAAAACTTGGAATTAAGGACAGGATAGCTAGAAAAGGCAGATCAACAAGAGAAAACAACAGTAAATGGTAATTTCAAGAAGTGTGGTTTCTATAAGAGGTAGGCATAGCTGGGGGCAGGTGGCTCATGCCTGTAATCATAACTACTGAGGAAGCTGAGATCTGAGCACTATGGTTCAAAGCCAGCCCAGGCTGAAAAATCCCTGGGAGACTCTTATCTCCAATTAATCACCAGAAAACTGTAAGTGGTGCTGTGTCTCAAAGTGGTAGAGGGCTAGCCTTGAGCCAAAAAAGAGCTCAGGGACAGTGCTCAGGCCTTAAGTTCAAGCCCCACGATCAAATAAATAAATAAAAAAAAGAGGTGGGCATTACCTATTAAAAATATGTATCAGTATAGTTTAAAAAAAAAAAATCGAAGAGACCGTATTTGGAACTGCTACCCATATTTATACCATGAAATTTTCAATTACTCAGTATTTATTAGTACCTATCTTTTTTTATGTACCTTTTTTTTTTTTTTTTTTGCTAGTCCTGGGGCTTGGACGGAGGGCCTAGGCACTGTCCCTGAGCTTCTTTTGGTGAAGGCTAGCACTCTACCACTTGAGCCAAGCACTGCTTCCAGCTTTTTCTGTTTATGTAGTACTGAGGAATCAAACCTAGGGCTTCATGCATGTTAGGCAAGCACTCTACCAATAAGCCACATTCCCAGCCCCTACTAGGTACCTATTTTGTGTCCGGTACGCTGCTAAAAATGCATGCCTACCTCTGGGGCTTCATCTAATGAAGATATATTATTAGCAAGCAAGCAAACCCCACAAGAATTACAACAGGAAAGTAAAGACGCTATTTTAAGTTGTTAAAAAGTCACCACGACTGAGCAGAAAAATGCAAAACAAGCCAGTTTGGAATTCAATGTAACCCTATTCAAGAAGAAACTATCCGAGAAACTCATACATCTCCCGGGCAGTTCTTTCCTTATTTGCACCAGAGAGCTGAACTCCTTCCAGGACTGAAGCTGCAGCTTTCCAAATGTCACCCTACACCGGGAACCTCCACGAACATTCTCCTCCTGCCCGACTGCCTTACAGGAAAATGAAAGTTTCCTCCATGCACCAAGAATGGAGGGATTCTCATCTCTGAGTCCTGTTTAACCACTAGCTTCTCGAATGGCAGGCTTAGCCCTTAAGGTTTTTTCATACAGCGGTAGAGAACCGAGTCTGCGAAAACTAAACAGCCAGTCCACATTTGAGAGTGTTTTTCAGCGTTTACAAGGATCGGCCGTTATGTATGGAGTCTCCTAGATTTGGACGGACGGCCTATCACCAGTATTGGTATCAAAAGAGTCGGTGCTGATGGGGATCCGGGGATCTTTACAAATATCTAAAGTTTTAAGTGTTAAAGAGGAGGGGGGGGGTGCTGGAGGAAGCCGACAGGGGAGGTGGGGGGGGAGGAGAGGGGAGGTAAGGGGGGGGAGAGGGGAGGTAAGGGGGGGAGAGGACATGGGAGGTAAGGGGAGGGGACAGGGGAGGTAAGGGGAGAGGACAGGGGAAGGAAGGGGAGGGGAGAGGGAAGGGGAGGGGAGGGGAGAGAGGAGGGAAGGGGAGGGGAGAGAGGAAGTAAGGGGAGGGGAGAGGGGAGAGGGAAGGGAAGGGGACGAGGGGTAAGGGGGAGGGGAGAGGGGAGGTAAGGGGAGGGGAGAGAGGAGGTCAGGGGAGGTAAGGGGAGAGGACGGGGGAGGTAAGGGAAGGGGACAGGGGAGGTAAGAAGCGACGCCAGGACGACGACGCGGGGCATCCTACGGAAACGAGACCGAATTACAGGAACGTGACTTCGGCCGAGGGTGGGCGACGCGGCCTTTCAAACCAAGGTGGCCGCCACCCCACCAGTCGTTCCCGTGCCCAGCTCCGCGCCAGCCACAAGGGAAGGGAGGGCCCGGGGCCCGGACCCGCCGGGGGCCGTGGGCACACCGACCGACCGGGCACGCCGGCTCACACGCCGGCCGCGGGGAGGAGGGCGGAACGGCCCAGGCCCACGGGCCGCCCCGACCCCGTGACGCGACACATCACGGCGTGCTGGGACGGCCTCATCCACGCCACGGACGCCAGCCGGGGTCGGGCTGGGAGGCGGCAGCGTGCGCCTGCTGGGCCACGGGGTCGGGCCCGGCCGAGCCCCGACGCTCACTCACCATCTTCGCGTCGCTCTGGGAACAAGATCCCCAGCAGGTTACCGTCAGCCGGACCGCCGCTCACTTCCGTTTCCGGGGGCCGTTCCACACCCCCCCACCCCCACCCCGCCACATCCGCCGGAAGTGCGTCCGTCCGGGCGAGGAAGGAAGGAGGGCGCGGGTCTCCGTTCGGGATCCTTGCGGGGCCGGGGCTCCCACGCCTGAGGTAACCCCGAGGGACCGAGGACCGAGGATGCCGGGAGGGTGTGAGCCGAGCGGGGGCGGGCTCGAGGCCGGACCGGACCGGAGCGGGCCGGACGGAAGACGCGGACGCCAGGATTGCCATAAACAACTACTGTCTGCACCGTGCTCAGGACTTGCCCCGTCCTGTTCGTACGGAGACCGCCCGAACCCCACGTCTCTCCCAAGTAGACGCTGCATTTTCAGCCGGCCAGTGTTCAGCTAGCCAGGCTGCACTAGAACGCAAGACTTCGGGTCGTTTATTTGTATTTTTAAAACCACGTGTCCAAGGCTTGTTCAGAAACCCGTGCCAAGGCGAAGAAGAAGTCCAGGTTGGCTCAGTCTCTGTGCTAGAGGAGTTGGGGACGAAAGCGATGGCAGGATGAGGACTGACAGCTCAATGTCAGCAGTGACTGACATATATTATAGACACGTATATTATAGACACACTTCTAAATGGTTTACAGGCACTGCCAGACAGTAATGGTAACTTAGCCTGCCCAGTCACCTGATTTGAGTCCATAAACCCCACGTGGTTATAATTCTTCACTGAATCGTTTCCCCTATAGAATGGGATTAAAAATAGCCTTATGCTCTACTGCCATATGATGAAGATGACTTATAAATGATCAGGATGATAGTCAAAAGATAAGAGCTCACTAGTTTTGTAGTAGGGTATATAGCCTGTAAAAATCAGCTGAGAAGGGTATATGTGGCTAAGGTTCAGAAAGTGAGATTAAAAAAAATAATAATATGAGACAGGGTAGATGGAGGATCAAGTTTTTTATGAAAAATAATAATATGAGACAGGGTAAATGGAGGATCAAGTTTTTTATGCAGACCTTTGTAGGCCAGATTAAGGATTAAGGTTAAGGGTTTTTGTTGTTGTTTTGTCTTTTAAATGCCATTGGTGGCTCAGGCCTGTAATCCTAGCTCCTCTGGTAGCTGAGATCTGGAGGGCTGGAAGTTTGAAGTAAGCCCAGGCAGGGAGGTTTGTGACACTCCTGCAAAAAATCAGAACTGGAGGGGAGCTGAAGTTGTAGAGCACCAGTCAAGAGCAAGAGTTTGAAATCCCCAGTTCTAAGCCCTGGTTCTGACGCACACATACACACACACATAAACACACACACACACACACACACACACACACACGGCATTGAAGGATTTTAGGAAGGAGATGATAAGGTCATATGTTACTGGGCCTGTTATGGTCATACAGTTTCTGAAATTCAGAGGTAATCCACATGCTATAAGTATTCTGCTCTGCTGTCCTTAATGTGTCTGGTCTTTCAGTATAACCATGTTTACCTTAAGATTAGAGCTGAGTGTGTCATTCACATTCCTTTCCTTTTAATAAATTCCATGTAAGATTCTTACATGGAATTTATTGAAAGGAATGTGAATGACCCTATATGGTGTGTCGAAGCACTTTTTCCTTACTTGCAATGGACCAATATTTGACCTGAAAACACTTGATTCTAGTGCTAACATGAAGGATAGCCTTCATAGAGAGAATGTAGGAACTAAGATGTCATTTACACTACTGTAATACTGCAAGCCATAGATGATAAAGCTAGAGATTAAAGTTGTATAGAAAAGCTCCAGAAGCAAAAAAAAAAAAAGTGAGAATTCACCTAAGAAATACTAGAATTCAGATGACAGCCACTCAAAGAGTCAGTGGCTCATTCCTGTAATCTCAGTTACTCAGGAGGCTGGAATCTGAGGATCACAGTTCAAAGTCAGTCCAAACAAGAAAGTGTGAAATTATCTTCAGCTAACCAGTAGAAAAGCCAAAAGTGTATCTGTGGCTCAAGTAGTAGAGTGCTAAGCCTTCAGGGACAGTACCTAGGCCCTGAGTTCAAGCCCCAGGACTGGCACACAAAAAAAAGAAAAAGCCAGTGATAGGGGATTCTGCTGTAGGGCAAGAAAGTATTGAAAGACTGGATGTAGCTCAAAAAGGATAGAAAATAGATTCAAACTAACTAAAAGGATAATGAAGTCCTGGAAAATAGACCTTTGTTGACTAGGTGAAGGTAGTTGTCTTAGTGCAGCAAAGAGAAAAGCCACATTATTGTGAGCACACATCCACATTTTTATCCTATTTTAAAATGATTTGTTACTTTAATCCAGGGCCTTTTTTGTACACTAAGAAGCTCAAAATTAAATTAGAAACTAGGATGACTTGATATGTTTGCCTAAGCCACATGTTGTATAGTATAACATGGAGAAGATAGTATTGGTAATAATCTACCACCTGCTACATATCAGGCCCTGTGTTTAGTTCTTCACATACTTTGTTTCAATCCTTAAGTACCTTTTGAGATAGGTACTATTGCTACACTTCACTGAAGAAACAGACTTGTTCAGTGAAGGAGAAGTCTTATTCTGTTTTACTTTTGCCTTCCTTGGCTTTACTGTGAAGCCATTCTGATAACCTGTTTAGGCCATCTGAGGATAAGTTTAGCTTTGATCATAGCATCTGGCAAGAATGGCCTTCCCCCTCTAAATTCCCTTAGTTCTAGCCCTTTCCTCATTTGTTACCTTTGGCTGTTTCCTATTTGAGTTATATTCCTATCATTCATCTTGTCAGCTGATTTGGTTCTTTTGGCTTAAAATTCAGTCTTCTCTGAAGATCTGGATTGCATTTACCCTTTGCTCTTTTTTGTTCCTTGTGTGAGCTCAGAGTTGGGCAACCTCACTACCATAGCCTGCTAGGTCAGGCCTTTCCTATAACACAGCGTTTTGAATACTTTTGGCAGGCACTCAGAAATGCTTTAAAATCTGATTGTCAGGGAATATCTCTTTGGAGCCAAGGAGGATATAAAATCAAGATAAAGAAATGACCAATGATGCCAAATTATCATGATTGTGGGAAATCAATGGAGTTTGGCAAATAGGATGTCATTTGAATGGTCTAAATAAAATGATGGAAGCAAAACCTGACAGCTAGTGGTAAAGAATTACAGGAGCTCCCCTACTTGGGGATGCTATCCAAGATCCCTAGTGGATGCCTGAAACCACAGTACCAAATCCTGTGTATGCTATATTGTTCCCATTCTGAAATACCTCTAATAAAGTTTAATTTGTAAATTAGATCTTATAAGTAAAAAATTACTGTCATGAAAAACAGTTTCAGAGTTCCAGTGAACAGTCCCAAGCCAGAGAATCACACCAAGTGTGCCATCACAGGACAGAGAGTTAGTCAAGAGAGGGGAAGCCAAGCAGACACATCTGAGCAGCTGCCGCTGCGGCGGCAGGGTCGCAGCGGCGACCACCGCCGCGGAGGCATACCTGAGACGCAGTCCAGGACGAAGGAGCCAGACGCAGCGGACGAGCGGATTCTACTCAACACCAGCAAGAACCGACAAGGAGCGGACAACTTCATCCTGCACTTTGCAGACCAGAGACGACCCGAGATCCAAGACTCCGCTGTAACCCCTGCTTTCACTATATTTGATGTCAGTATAACATGTGGAGGAGACGGGGACAAACAAGTCGTTTAAGGATTCAGGTGGACCTGTTGCAACAATGAGAAGTACAAAATGTCATGTCAAAACCAGCTTTACAATGTCGGTGAGGAGGGGGGGAGGGGGGGTATGATTGGGTGGGAGGGAGGGGGGAGGCTGGGAAGGGAGGTGAAGGGTAAACAAAGGAGGAGGATGCAATGCTTGGTAAGAAATGTATGCATTATCCTGCCCATGTAATTGTAACCCCTCTGTACAGTATATTCTCAAATAAAATAAAATAAAATTTAAAAAAAAAAAAAAAAAAAAAAAAAAATTACTGTCATAAAATGAGCAATTGTAACAATATACATTAAGAAAAGTTGCATGAATGTGGTCTCTGAAAATACTGCACTGTAGCTCTTGCAACTTCAGCCTATGTTTGTTTTGTTTTCCTTTCCTCATTAAGTTGAGAACTTTCAGCTTTTCAGTTGAAACACTTTAAGCTGCTTCTTGGCATATTCAAGTTGCCATCATTATTCTTCTTGTGTCTTAGGCCACTATTAAATAACACACGGGTTATGTGAACACAGCACCAAGACTAGAGATCCACTAAGTGAGGTGGCTGCGACATGACTAGTGGGTGGGTAACTATAATGCTGGACAAAGGGATGGTTCATGACCTCGGTGGGATGGAAAGGAAAGGCCTGAGATTTTATCATACTATTCAGAATGACAACTACTTATTTAAAACACATGAAGTGTGTATTTCTAGAAGTTTTTTTTTTTCATTGAATATATTTGGACCATGGTCGAATGAGGGTAATTGAAACCATGGGAAACAAAACTGGATAAAGGAGGATTGCTGTGCTATTTTAGAAATAAGAACATGGAGGCAGTGAAAAATTTTAGCTGATTCTCGGGAAGTTGTCAGTTTCTAAAAGAAACAAGATTTGGGTTTGAAACAAAGATTTTTTTTTTTCCTCTTTCCACATGGTGGGAGACACCAAAGTTTATTAGCCATTAGAAAGAGTCAGTGACAAACAGCAAGAAAGTAGCCAGAAGGAATGATTAAAATGATGATTTGGATGTCGGAGCAAATGTTAGGGTGGTTCAGGTGGGTAAACTTAGCTACTAAAAGAGGTGGAAAATGGAAGAATCACCTTTGAGGCTAGCCCTGGCAAAAAAGTTTGCAAAGATTCCATCTCAACAAGAAAAGTTGGGTGTGTTGGTATGCACCTGTCATCCTAATGACTTAGGAAGCATAAAGTAGGAAGATCACAATCCAGACTGGCCCTGGCCAAAAACAAAAAACAAACAAAAAAACATGAAACCCTATCTGAAAAAATTAAGCAAAAGAGCAAGGAGTGTGGCTCAAGAAGTTGATCGTCTATCTAATCAACCTAGCAAGTGTAGGGCCCTGAGTTCAAACTCTTTTACTGAAG